AGCGCGTCTGACTCCAGATCAGACAATTGCGTGTTCGAATCTCGTCGGCGTCAAAGTTTATTACCCTATAGTATTACCGGTAATCGTTTCTAACTTGGACTCGTTGTATTGTGCGCATGTTTTGAACGATGTCGTGCAGAGCGTATCCACTGTTCGTAGTCTGAATGCCGGATACGAAATTTCTAAATTCATTTTACGTCTTAGTTTGACGCTATCTTAATATAAACTTTATTCGTTTTAAACGTTCTAAGTCGAATTTTCTAATCCCGGTAATTATTCATTTATATGCAACCGTCCCTGTGGCGTAATGGTGGCGCGTCTGACTCCAGATCAGAAGGTTGCGTGTTCGAATCACGTCGGGGTCAAAGTTTATTACCCTATAATATTACCGATAATCGTTTTAACTTGGACTATTGCTATTTGTTGTATTGTGTGCATGTTTTGAACGATGTCGTGCAGAGCGTATCCACTGTTCTTAGTTTGAATGCCGGTTATGAAATTTCTCATTTCAATTTACGTCTAAGTTTGGCGCTATTTTAACGTAAAGTTTATTCATTTTAAACGTTCTAATTCGAATTTTCTAATCAAGGTAATTATTCGTTTATATGCAACCGTCCCTGTGGCGTAATGGTGGCGCGTCTGACTCCAGATCAGAACGTTGCGTGTTCGAATTACGTCGGGGTCAAAGTTTATTACCCTATAATATTACCGATAATCGATTTTAACTTGGACTATTGCTATTTGTTCTATTGTGTGCATGTTTTGAACGATGTCGTGCAGAGCGTATCCACTGTTCGTAGTCTGAATGCCGGTTATGAAATTTCTCATTTCAATTTACGTCTAAGTTTGGCGCTATTTTAACGTAAAGTTTATTCATTTTAAACGTTCTAATTCGAATTTTCTAATCAAGGTAATTATTCGTTTATATGCAACCGTCCCTGTGGCGTAATGGTGGCGCGTCTGACTCCAGATCAGAATGTTGCGTGTTCGAATCACGTCGGGGCCAATGTTTATTGTCCTGTGTTATTACCGACAATCGTTCCTTATTTGGAATCTTGCTATTTCTTCTATTATGAGCATTCTTTGAACGATGTCGTGCAGTGCGTAGCCACTGTTCATAGTCTGAATGCCAGCTACAAAATGTATATTTTCCATTTATGTCTTAGTTTGTCGCTATTTTAACGTAATCTTTATTTATTTTAAACGTTTTTCTTCGAATTTTCTAATCCTGTTACTTTTACGCTTATATTCAACCGGCCCTCTGGCGCAATTTTGGCCCGTCTGATTCCAGATACGAAGGTTTCGTGTTCGAATCGCGTCGGCGTTAATGTTTATTATAATCTTTTACCGACAATAGTTTTTAATTTGGTGTCTTCCAATTTGTTCTACTATGTGCATGTTCTGCACTGTGTAGCAACTGTTGTTCGTGTGAATCCCAGATATGGAAGAAGTTGTAATTTAGCCCGACGCATTTTAACGTAATCGATATGTATTTTATCCTTTTTTCTTCGATTTTTTTCCCTCCTTACGCTCTTTCATGGAAACCGCTTTGTGGCGCAGTTTTAGCGCGTATCACTTCAGATCAGAACGTTGTGTGTACGAATCATGTCAGAGCCCTTTTTCTCACCGACAATTGTTCCTTATTTAGACTCTTGCAAATTCTTCTATTATTTACATGTTTTTAAATATCTCATGCAATGTGTAGCAAGTCTACGTCGTCTGACTCCCAGATATGAAAGGCTGTAATTTCCAATTAAATCCTCGCCTTTCTTCTCTTGTTTTAATCTTATTTTTTTTAATGTTTATTCTTCGAATTTTTCTATCGCCTTTTTAAAATTTATTTTTTAAAATATAATTTTATTCCTCATGTTTGTAGTACACAATTAATTTAAGTTTTTGTTCGGTTCAACCTGTGTAGTTTATTTCTTTATGATATTTCTAAGTGTAGATTCATCTTTTATTTAGTTGAGGTGCATTTGGGTTTTATAGAAAATATTTTTGCTATTGTTTTTGTCTGTATGTTCGATTTGGGTTGAAATAATAATGTAATGTGGTGGTCGATGATGTGATTAGGCATCGCTCTCTCTCTCTATCTATCTATCTATCTATCTATATATATATATATATATATATATTATACATTGTTAGGAATCTATATATATATACATTATACATTATATATATATATATATATATATATATATATATATACACATTAGTTAGGAATCTATATCTATATATATATGATGTGTTTTTGGAATATATATATATATATATATATATATATATATATATATACATTATACATTAAATATATGCATATATATATATATATATATATATATATATATAGACATTATTCGTCTATTGTCCTCATCTTTATTTATTTATTACAACGTTTCGTCCCTTGTACGCTCTGGCCTTCTTCAGCTGGCTGGAATGTCGAACTGTACCCTTTATTTCGCTCACTAGACTGTTCTAGTTCCACATGCCATTTTTAATGGATGGCAGTTATCAGTTATCTCCTGTTAATTTCCCTCTGAAAGTTCTCCACTGCCTTAACCGTATGTTGAACTCACACTCTTTGGGTCCTGTCACTGGATCTAACCAACGACTTTATCCATTGTGCCACGTGTCCTTGAGGACATCTAGGTATTATAAACCTAATGTCTTCAGCAACCATTTTTACCAGTGCTCATATTGCAATTTTGCTGTTATCATTGCATGTTTTTACCAGAGCTCATATTGCAACTTTGTTGTTATCATTGCTTTTCTCTGGCACTCCTCATTACTAGTTCCCACATTGTATTTATTTCTATGCTTGGTCGGCTCAGGAGATTTTTGTGGCCTAGCATATGTGCTGATTCCTTAAGTTTACGAATTTTCCAATGATGTTCTTTGTCTATGATCTCAACCTGATACCATAGAGGGCGATGATCTCCCTTCTCTCTTTATATGTGGTCAGCCATGCCTGATTTTTCCACATCCCCTCGTGTTACAGCT